GTTTTACGGACACCCTGAATTTTAGAGTCAGACTCTTCCCAGCGCACTCGAACACAGAGCGCTGCATTGTGGGCCCTGCAGGCTCCCAACAGCAAATCCCTTCACTCTGCTGAAACAGGGTCGCGTCGGGTAGTAGGCTACTAGGAAGACACTGCCAGTGACAAAAGGGCGCCCGTGGCAGAGTTGACGCTGGCATCCCAGGCCATCTGCAGCCATACCTGATGCCCAAGGGGCCTCAAACAAATGCAGCTGCAGCCCCGATGCTCACACCAAGCCTGCAACTAGCTAAATATGTCTAATAAAGGCAAACGCTCTGGTGACTAAACCAAGGCTCACACCAGTTCTTCCTTGAGAGCACATTTCATTTAGAAAAAAGGCTAGGCAGCAAGGCTGCTTTGCCCTCTGGAAGTTGGCAAGGCATTCTCTCCACCTCCTCCAGAACTTTGAAAGATCACACAGGAAAATTCCTTATCTTAAAATAATTAATCATGATTTCTAAACACACCACCATGCTGTCCCTCCTACAGATTTAGCAGCCAGGTCTCCAATCACACAGAGTTCAATGCTGGGGCCAGACCCCTGGTCCCAACACCCACATTTTGATGGTCAACAGCAGAGTCAATGCTGAGCATGGCCACAGCCCTGCCCCACATAGCCAAGTCCCCCAAACATGGACGCTTAGGGGTGGGTGGACACAGTAAATGCCCACAGGACAACTCAGTCTTGATGGAGATGGACACAAAGACAGGGCCCTGGGGACAAGGCCAGGACCCAAAGGAGCACACAGACACACTGGACAGAGTCAGCTATTCGAGGAAAGTTTTGCCTAATGTTCGATGTGCAAAAAAATCACTCCCCAAATCTGACCCTTGCCCCACCCCCACCTCGCCACAAGCCAGTCCCTCTTACTTGAATGATAGCACCCTCTGGCTGGCTCTCCACTCCCACCCTCATCCCCCAACTGTCCCCATAGCCACCATGAGGAGCCTGCCAAAACAGTCCGTGCCAGGGATGGTGCCACACGCCTGAATCCCAGCTCCTTGGGAGGCAGAGGCAGCAGAATGAGAAGCTCAAGACCAGCCAGGGCAACTCAGTGAGACCAAGTTACTCAATCAAACAAACAAACAAATAGACAAACAAACAAAAACTTCAGGCTGTGTCTACCCTCAGATAAGCTGAGTCCTGGCCCAACTGGTGCCCCAATTTCTTTGCTCCCATAGTGTTTACCCCTCTGGGACAAGACCTACCAGACTGAGATGGAACTCTGTCTGCAAGTCTGAATCCTTGCACGGGAAACCCCCTAAGAGCCAAGCAATTCTGCTTGACTATCCTCAGAGCCCTCACGGCCAGCTCTAAGTCCCAGGCAGAATACACACTGAATACATGCACTGAAAAATAAATGACACTTTCGTCACTGAAGTTACCCACATGGGCTCCAAGCTCTTTCAAGTCAATATTACTGATGACATCATCAAAAAAAAAAAAAAAAAAACCCTTCAAATCCAATACAACAAGCACCTGAAAGAGGGCCAAAAAGCTGAGCTTTGAGGATGTTGGGTTCACTAATAGAATCATTTGTACTTCCCAGAGATCAAAATTCTCCGTCAAGTCAGCAAGAAGGTGTCAACCCAGATCACCTAGGGTTCAGGCTGCGGGTACAGGGCACAGGATCTGCCTTTGTCCTCTGAATGGAAGACACAGGCACAAGAAGGGGCTGCAGCCCTCAACTGAAGGACCCCTCCCTGCACAGCACTCAGTTCCCTAAAACGAGAGGATGGGTCCCTAACAATCCTACCACAAAAGGCAGATGAGACCCTTTGGATGATAATCAGCCTCCAGCTGCCTCCTGCCAGACCCTGCTCCAAAATCTACCCTTTCTGAGTGAAAGCCCTGACAGGAGCACCAGTTGATGCCAGTGAAGACAGACAGAGCAGACAAAGTGCCCAGCCCTAGGTGCACCAGGTAAGATCAAGGTGGGGTTGGAGGAGGAAGCCTGCATGGACCCAAGCAGAGGTAACACAGATACAGTACACACAGGCTGGGGGCAGAAAGGAGGGTCTCCAGCCACCCCTTATCTAAGTCAATCCTTCCCACGAATGCAAAGGACCCCGACACTTACACACCCAGCCCAGAAGGGAAGCCCCCTCCACCAGGAGATCACTGGGAGGGGTGCCCTGTGGAGTGAAGTCACCCTAGAAACAAGCCCAGGCCCTAGAGAGTGGCGCTTCAATCATATTCTCTGCAGAGACTGTTGCCAAGAGCAAAGATGCCACCACTGTGAGTCTGGGTGACTTGGGGACCCTCTCTCCAATTCTGCCCTAAACAGGGCTGCTGGAGAAATGTCATGTGACCCCCTTTAGGACAAACTGAGGCTTTTTACTTCAACAGTTACTATGTTTATTTTTACAGTTACTGTGTACAGCAAGTTACACTAATGTTCTATTTCAGGGAATGATACGAAGTTTCCTTTTAAAAGAAATATTGCCAGACTAAGGAGACAAGAGACTTAAATGCAACACAGGATCCTGGAACAGGAAAAGGACGCCAAGCAGAGGGACCTTGCAAAACTAATCTGAGTAAAGCTGCCAAGTCTGTAGCTCAGTCAATAGCAGTTCAAGTCTCTCTGTGGTTTTGATGCTGGCACCGTGGTTTATCAGATGCCAGCTGCAGGGGAAATGAGGAAGAGGAGAAGTAGGGAAACCGTTCCATTTCTGAAACCTTTTTCTGTCAGTCTAAAGCACCCTCAGTAAAAAGTGTGAAAGTCTTCCAACTTTTAAGAAGTGAGCTAAAACATGAACTGTGAAGTAAAAATATCACTGGTGGTACCAAGTCTGAGGTTCACCGAGGGGGGCACCAGGGGTGGAGAACACTGAGGGCTGCCCTGCCCCCTCACTGTATCAGTGAGGACTGGGATGCTGGGTGGGGGGGACCTGCCAGGAGCTGAGCCTTGCCTGGTCCCTGCAGGCTCTCTCTCACCCAAGAGCACCCTCTCCCACGCACCCCTCTGCTCGGTGCCACCCAGGTCCACACACACCAGGGGCTTCGCTGCTCAGGGTTCACTGGGCAAGTGACCCTTAATTACAGAAAATTTCTCCCAAGAGTGAGCACCTTTCAGATCCCAAAAGGTGGAAATGAATCTGTGATCAACTCCCTGACCTGGATTAAATCAAAGACCAGATAAGCAGTAAAGAGATAAGGCCTCTCCAAAAAATTCTCTCAAGGGTCAGGACTGGTCACACCTCCCTGCCTCTGCCCTAGCCAAAGCAGGAAAGACACCAACCCACCAGGCCAGCTTCCTACTCCTCTCCCCAGCTGTCTTAAACTCCCAGGATTTCCTCTGGCCACCAAGCTGAGCTCAAAACTGGACTTCCCTTCTGAGAGGGTCCACAAGACAGAGGTCCTCCAGGCTCTCAGCTGCACGGAGCACACACAGCACCTGGGGGCCCACAGGTACCCGTGGGCTGAGTGGGGAGGAGGAGTCCCCTCACTTTCAGAGCCATTCAGGGTCAGCACCCCAGCACCTTCAGATCTGAGGAGCCCAGAAAGCGCTCACACACACAGACACACACACACACACACACCAGCTGCCATGGGCCATGGTCTGGCCACAGAACACTCGGAGATAGCATCCAGTTGACAAAGATGTATGTAGTGGCCCTTTTCCGGGCAAAGCCCAGGGGTCACACCTGCACTCACTGCTTTCCACAACCCCTGACATCCCAGCAGCACAGCCCAGGAGACTGAAGACAGCTCAGGAGTCCACACATCCCACTACCCTCCTGACAAGCATCCCTGGTAGGAGGGGAAGGTGAGAGGCAGGCCCAGGGCTGACAAATGTGAGCAGGCCCCGGGCACCCTGGCCACCCAGCCCCCCACCTATAAACCGGGGAGACTGGACAGGAGCCCCTCCCGCTCCGCGGCTCCCTGCAGAGGGCCACTGGCCAATTCTAAAGACCCATGGTGAGAGCCAGCAAAAAGGTCTCCACTTTGGAAGAAGGATCAGGGACCACCCACCACCACACCCCCTCCCCTCCCTCCAGCCTGCTCGGGGCTACTACAGACTGGAGCCCTTGCAGACGGGCAGCCCCGGCTAGCCCCCTGGTCAGCCCTCCCTGGCCCAAACACATCCCGCTGGCAAAGTCAGATGCGAGAACCTGTTGGAGCAGTTTAGGCCTGCGGATCACCTTTTCCTCCTCTTTTTCCTCCTCCTCCTCCTCCTCCTCCTCTTACTTCTGGGTGGGAAGGGACCTCGGCTCTTGAAAACTAGGCACACGGCCAGGTCACGGCCACGGGCAAGGGCCAAGCGGGTGGGTTTCAGCACCTCCGGGCTTCCCTCCCACCCGCTCCCCTGCTTCCTTAGCGAGCATACAGTCCTGTCAAAACTGGGGTGCCCCTGCCTGGAGCAGAGAGGAGGGCACTGGGGAGCCGCGAAGGCCGGCGAGGCGGCGGCAGAGCCGCAGCCCTCACCCGCGACCCACGCCGCTCTGTCACCGCACTCCCGCCGGGCCCAGGGCAGGCCGGGCCGGGCCGCGCCGCGCGGGGCCGCAGGGATCCCGCCCGCCTTAGCCGCCCGTCCCGCGAGCTCCGGCCGAGCCGCCCCGCCGTCGGCGCCTCTCCGGGGACCGTGCCGGGCCGCGCGCCGCCTCCCCGGCCCGCCCGGCCGCCGCGCGGGGAAAGTTCCTCAACTTCGCGGGGGGCGGCGGCGGGCGCGGGCCTGGGCCTCCTCCGCTCCGGCCTCCGGGCCGCGGGGACCGATGTCAGGCGCCCGGGCCGCGCGGCGCCAACTTCCCGGCCCGCGGGCCTGGCTTTGTGCGCGGCGGCCGGGGGCGCTCGGCGCGGCCCGGGCCCCCACCCGGGCACAAAAGGGCGCGCGGCGCGGCCCGGATCGGCTCGGCCCAGCGCGGCCCGGGCGCCCGGAGCGCGGCGGCGGCGGGGTCCGGGCCGGGCCCGGCGCGGCGGTGTCCAGGCCCGTGGGCCGGGGGGCCGGGGCCCGCGCTCACCTGCCGTGGAACCAGTCCTTGCAGGCGTCGCACTCGATCATGAAGCGGGTAACGTCGTAGGGCAGGCGGCAGACGCAGTACACGGGCACCGTCGCCATGTTGCCGCGCCGAGCGCCGCGCTGCGCCGCCGGGTCGGGTCGGGCCGGGCCGGGCCGGGCCGGGCCGGGGCCGGGCCGCGCGGGGGTGGCGGGGGCGCGGGCGCGGGGGCGGCGCGGCGGGCGCGGGGCCGGGGCCGGGGCCGGGGCGGGGGCGCACGACAGCCCCGCGCGCGCTCCCGGCCGGCCGGGCGCGTCCGCACAAAGCCGGCGCTGGCTGCAGGGGCCGCCCGGGAGCCGCCCGCCGGCCCGGGGGCGCAGGGCGCGAGTGTGCGCGGGGCCGGCCGCGCGCGGGACACAAAAGGGGACGGACGCGCGGGGGCGGGCGGGGAGCCGCGGCCCCACCGAAGGGACCCCCGGCCGCCGAGCGGCCTCTACGTCAGCGCCCCGGGTGGCGCCGCCTCCGCCCGCCGGCCTGGGCCCCGCTCCCGCGCCCGCCGCCGCCGAGAAGGCGGGCCGGGGAGAAGGTGGGCCGGAGACTGGGGAGCGCGGCTGGGGGCGCGGAGCAGCGGCCGGGCCGGGACCTCCGGGGCAGAGGCGGGTCGGGGGGGCCCACGCGGGAGACGGCGGGCTCAGGGCGCTCGGAGAGGATGGCCAGGTCCCCTGCTCCCCTCGGGTGCAGCCTGTTGTGCGTCTTTTCTCGTCCAGACGACCAAGAAGCAACTCCTTGGCGTTAACTTTCTCAGGACCCCGAAGTGGGGCGGGAGGGGGCATTCCTCCTCTTTGGGGCCTTGCTGCTTTTTTCCCATCCCGAGTGTCGAGGTCTGGGACAGAGATTACTTCCCCACCTTCCTGGATGAGGGCACCTGCCTGCTCCCAGACCCCCTGGATGTCTCTGATACTCACCCCACCCCCGGGGGCAGAGCATAAAAGTCCGGTGGGTCAGCTCCAAAGAGACAACGTACCTGCTGCCAGGACCCCGTCACAGCCCCCGCACCGAGACCAAGGGGCGAGGGACAGTGGGGGACAGTTGGAGATCCTGCATCTGGTCTGTGCTGTGACAGAGGGGAGGAGAAGCCAAGAGGCCACCTATCTCGAGCCCCTGCTGCCTTTGCCCTCAACTGGCTCTGGCCTCAACTGCAAGTTCAAGGGAGGGGAAGATGCCCCCTTTGGGGTGGTGATCCTCTCTGACCAGCCCTAGCTGTGGCATCCTTTGTGCGGCCCACTGGGCAGGGGGCAGGTTCCCAGTGAGGACCCTGGCTGAATCACCTGGCTGAAGTCACCTTCACTCTCTGTCACCTTTGACCTGTGCCAGAACCCCACGTAATCCTAAGAGTCGCTCCGCACATTCTCAGGCCTCCGCACACCTCCATCATCCCTGACTGGGCACCACGCTCGCTCCCCTGTCCAGCCTGCAACTAGGGAGCCATTTGCTGCATTGTGAGCTGCCCACCCAGGGTACTGCTCTCCCCAAACAGGTGGCCTTAACTACAGAATGGGGACAGTGACCATGGCAGAGCCTCAGGGTTGGACAAGCATGAGGAGGGAGGAGAACCTACCCATGATGAGCTTAGTGAGGCCTCCTGCCCAAACCCCAGCTCTCTGCCCCCACCCCCCAGCTGGTTCTGTGCATGCTGAGGTCCTGGGGAAGGGCGCACTATAAAATGTCCTCTGGCTTGAGCATCTTGGTATGAATTCGTGCAAATAAAGAATGGGGCCTAACAGGAGGCCTGGTGGTGTGAGCCCTGCTCAGCCACCTTTGGACATTCCCCCAAGCCCTGAGTTTCCATTAACCAAAGGCGGGAACTTGGGTCTGGGTGTTGGGCAGACCTCCCTCTCTGAAAACTTCCATCTTCTCGTTTACAGAAGATGGAAGCATTTATCAAATGCTTCTCAGGCATGGTGTACTGGGCCGGTTCTTCATGAGGGTTCACTGGAACTCAGAGTTTGCAAAGCACTCAACTCATGGCTGGATGGTGGTACTCTTTGGCAGGCAGCAGAGGTGCCATTTTACAGAAGTGAAAACCGAGGCTCTGAGTAGTGACATGCCTAGCTGGTCCAGAAGAGGGAAGGAGCAAGTGAGTGATCTGGGAACCCACAGCTCCGCAAGGCCTGAGCCTGTGGCCTCTGTGCCTTAGTGTCCTTCCAGAGTATGACTGGGAAAACCGTTCCTCTCACTGCAGGTTCTTCAAGCTGAGCCCTGGGATGGCTGTCCATCCTCCCCTCACCAGGCAGTCTCCCATTTGCAGCCAGCTATGCCCATTGTAGCTGACCCTGCACATGGCCACCAGATACCTTCCTGGTACTCGAATCCCTTTGTGGACTGCCTGCCATCTGCAGCATCACACAGGCGTCCTCCTGGGCTGCTTCCCCTCCTCACTTGCTCCCCACACCCCCGTGTCACCCTCTTACTTAGATTTTTATTGAGCATCTACTGTCAGCGGGGCAGCATTGCAGACACTGTTGGATCTCAGGGGCAGCATTGCAAACACTGTTGGATCTCACCCTGGAGGACAGGGCTCCAGATGGCCTGGCTTGCTGCACTTCTAAAGAGGGTTGCTCGTGAGCCCTGTACTCTGGCATTCTGATGGCACCAAGCTGCAGCCTTGCACGGTTGTGCAACGGCCCAAGACAGACACATTTTCTTCCTCTTGCAACAGAGATAAACACAGCCATCCCAGGCCCTGTTTCTCCATGCATGTGCTCACCCACTCACTCAGCAAAGCAGACCCAGAGCTAGTGCAGGTTGCTCTAAATTGTGGTGAAATCTGCATAATATACTTTGTGATGAGCCTTTTTTTGGTGTGAACCCAGGGCCTCACATATGCTAGGCAAGGGCTGTGCTGTATCTCTGAGCTCCACCCCAGCCCGTCTTAACCATTCCTGATGTACAATTCAGTTCAGTGGGATTAAGTACATTTACGTATATACAGAGTCTGCCAAAAATAATGTATACACACTTAAGGGAAAGAAAAATAGTATGTTTTTCAACAGATGGTGTTACTCTTATATGGGGGACCCCAGAGGATGCTGTGTATCACAGAAAACTCATTATGATGCTGGCCCTTAGAGAAGAGACTGAATGTCACAGGTAGCCTGGCTGTCTCGGTGACCGAGGCAGCCCAAGCAGCAGGTCACCACACCAACAAATGTCTGGAAGCTAACGGCTTCCACTCTGAGCCCCCCTTGTAATTACAGAGGCCAAAGGGAACTTGAATCACTCTTATGATATCTCAGGAAATTTAATATTAAAATAGTCATACAAGTTTTCTTGAAGTATGCATGCATTTTTTTAGTGAACTTTGTATACATACTGCTGTTGGGATGCGGACTCAGGTCTGGGCCACTAAATGACAGCTAAGCCCCGGGAAGCAGGGAGGCTTGGTGGTCCACATCCACACTGACATGCATTGTTTTGTTTTTCTCTTAGTTTTATTGTTTGCTTTTGTTTTCAATTGATAACAGCCATTACTGGGGGCTTGAGACAGAGTCTGGTTATGGTTTTGATTCCCATTCCCTAATGATCATTGGTGCTAGGCGTCTTTGCCTCTGCTTATTGGGCGTCCATGAATCTTTGGAGAAACATCTGTTCAAATCCTTTGCCCGTTTCTGAACTGGGTGGTTTTCTTATTGAATTGTAGGAATCTTATACTTATTCTGGATATTAATCTCTTATCGGATACATAATTTGCAAATCCTTTTCTCCCATTCTGTCAGTTGATTTTTTTTTTTTGGTCAGGTGACTTTAATGACAGCATCCTTTCATACACAAAAGTTTTTCACTTAAAAGTTTTTAATTTTGGGCTGGGGATTTAGCTCAGTAGCTTTACACATCTGCCTGGCAAGTGTGAGGTCATGAGTTCGATCCCTGTTACAAAAAAAAAAAAAGTTTTTAATTTTAATGGAAGTCTAATTTTTTTTTTTGTTACTGTGCTTTTGATCTCATATCTAAGGAATCATTGCCAAATCCAAAATTGTGGCGATTTCTCCACTTTTTCCAAGTTTTATATTTTAGGTCTTTATGTTTTAGATCTTTGATCCATTTTAGTTCTTTTTTGTTTATAGTATACGGTAAGAGGCCAACTTTGTTTCACATATGGAAAGCTGCTTCCACTTGTTTAAAAGATTTTCTTTTCCTCACCAAATGGTCTTGACATCTTGTCAAAAATTGTCTTCCTATGAAGAATTCCGCTATGTATACCTTTATTTCTAGGCACTAGATTGTATTTTATTTGTCAATATGTCTGTTTTGTATGATTTTATTATATAGCTCTGTAGTATACTTTGAAATCAGGAAGTATAAATCCTCCAAAATTATCCTTTTTCTGTTTTCAAGATTATTCAGGCTAGCCAGGGATTTAGCTTAGCAGCATAAGCGCCTGCTTGGTAAGGACAGGTCTTGAGTTTGATACCAGGTACAAAAAAAAAAAAAAAAAAATTCAGGCTCTTTGGAATTCCTCAAGATTACATATTAATTTTAGGATTTTTCCTTATTTTTCTGCAAAAAAATTGGGAATTTGATATGTGTTGCAACCAATGCATAGACTGCTTTTAAGCAATTGACTTTGTAACAATACTGTCTTCTAATTGATGGACACAGAGTGTCTTTCCATTTTTTCCTGCTGTCCTTATTGTTTGGGGCAACATTTGGTGATCTTAAGAGTATAAGTCTTTTCCTCCTTGGTTAACTTCATTTTTGGAAAAATTTAATGCTGTTATAAGTAAGAATTATTTTCCTAATTTTCTTTTTAGCTTGCTCATTATTACTGTATGGAAACAAACCTGATTTTATAGTTGATTTTGTATCCCACTCTTCACTTAATTCATGTATTAGTTCCCACAGGCTGTGTGTGTATGTGACACTTGGCGCTCTACCCAGGTAATTCCCCCGTCCTCCAAACCATCCCTTACAGCAGTGGTGGCAAACCTATGGCATGTACACCACAGCTGGCTGTTATCATTGAAAATGCTAGAAAGTTTACAACGACTGGCTTACAGGATTCTCTGATGTCTTTCTTCTAACACTCTCCACAAAGTCTCTCATTTCCTTGGCTTTTTTTTTCTCAGAACCTCCTACCACTGTTGCGTTATTATACCAGTTCCTTGCATGGTTTTTCACTTGGCTGCCCTTTCC